CAGCTCTCTTCTCCTCCCACAGGAAACCACAACTAGGCCTGGAACTCCCAGAAGGAGGCTTGAACAGCGCAGGACTAGGCCCTGTGAGTGAAGTCCACCTACTGCTGTCTCTGCTGTGATGGTGTGGCAATAATGCTGCACTGCTCCTGAATTCGGAGCAGAGTTGCCACTCTCATGTAGGCGGTCCCTGTTTGCACTACGTGGGATAAAATAATGTTGCAGTGGGTGTGGCTATCGGCATTGTCATTGCTATTTGACAACCCAGCAGCTTAATTGATAACCTGGTCACACCTAGTCCTGCCCACTGATTTTTGATGCTGGAACCCTCCAACTGTGAGCTGCAGTTTCTCAGAAGGGGGAACATGTGAGACACAAATAAAGGAGGCTTTGGCTCACTCGCTGAAGATAAAGGAAGTGCTTTCTACACTATATAAAGTTTTTACAGCACATAGTACCTGGATCTGGTACTTGTTTGGTTTTTCAACCAGTTCTTTCAGTTTTCTTCAGGGTTGCCTTGGCAAAATATGAAAAATTTTCCAAAATTTTGCACAAGCCAGCGGGTGGATGAAGCCACACAAAGTCATCGGTTTTCATTGTGCATCTTTACACCCCTTCAGACTCTGGTGTTCTAACAACCAATGACGCCACCGGTTGACAAGGAGGACGTTGGGTGCATGCACAACTTCTTTGTTTGCCCCGCCCCTGCCCCTCTCCATCTTCACTGGGGTCATATTAGAGTGAAGGAGAAGAGAAATGCTGGAATACTAGTCAGTACCAGGGTTCATTTGATTTGGAAGAATAAATTACCTCTATTGTTGGGTTAGTTTTGTTTCTTTAACTACTTGGCCAATCAGTGATCACATGATCGGCACCTCACACAGAGGTCCCGTACAATGATCGATGTCCCGTACACCGGATCGCGGTGCTGCATGCTCCCAGGGAGCGCACACAAGCAGGGAGCAGGGAGGAAGTTTATAAATGGCCACCCGCCCATGCACAGCTCCCTTCCTGCCGTTTATATACATGGGCCGGAAGGGAGCAGTGCAGGGGCGGGTGGCTGTTTATAAACGACCTCCCTGCTCCCTGCTTGTGCACACTCCCTGGGAGTGAGCAGCACCGCGATCCGGTGTATGGGACACCGATCATTGTACGGGACCTCCGTGTGAGGTCCCGATCATGTGATTACTGATTGACCAATCAGTGATCACATGAAGAGTAGTAAGCAATGATGTCACTTCTGACATCATTGCTTACTACGTGTGAAATCTATGAATGATCACAGAGATCACATGGTACAAGGCTATTCACAACAGCCTTGTACTATGTGACAAGCTGTGACCAATCACAGCTCACACAGTATTTCTCAATGGCTGCAAGAATGCAGCCAGAGAGAAAGAGAAATGATTGCTTTTACAGCCTTTATGGGTGTAAAAGCAATCAGTGTAGAAAAAAAAAAATCTTCATCACCCCCCACAAGTAGTACAGTGTCACTATGGTGGCACTGTACTGCTACTGCTAGGGTGACACTATGTTAAAAAAACCCATAAATAATAATTTTAAAAAATAAAATAAAAATGTAAAGAAAAATTTAGAAATATTATAATTTTTGGTTATAAACTAATTTGGGTTATTTTTTTTTTACAAAAAAGATATATGAATAAATTTTGGTGAAGATTTATGAAGACATTTTATAAGAAAAACACTTGTTTCAACATTTTTGGACTTTTTCATTTATATAGCAAAAAAAAAAAAAAAAATCCCAGTGGTGAATAAATACCACCAAAATAAAGTTGTATCTGCCTCAAAAAAAATGCTAAACAATTCATATGGGTACAGTGTTGCATGACCGTGCAATTGTCATTCAAAGTGTGATAGCACTGAAAGTTGAAAATTGGCCAGGACAGGAAGGGGGTAAAAGTGTCCAGACTTGAAGTGGTTAAACACCTCAATGTTGGGCCAATTCTGACACTTCACTCATATATTTATTTATTATTTTATTATATTACAGGTACTTATATAGCACCGTCAATTTACAGAGAACATATATATTGTACATTCACATCAGTCCCTAATCCTCAAGGAGCACACAATCTGAGGTCCCTAACTTACATTCATACATACACATACTAAGATAAATTTACACAGGAGTCAATTAACCTACCAGCATGTCTTTGGAGTGTGGGAGAAAACCGGAGTACCTGGAGGAAACCCACAAAGGCACGGGGAGAACATGCAAACTCCGTACATGTAAATATCTGCATTTTTTTGCTAGAAAATTACTTAGAACCCCCAAACATATATTTTTTAAGTAGAGAACCTAGAGATTAAAATAGTGAGTGTTGCAAATTTTTATGTCAAATGGTTTTTCAAACACAAATTTTTGGGAAAAAATACTCAATAAATTTTAATGGGCAAAAACACATTCTTTGGTAAAATATTATGTTATAAATGATGTTACAGTTAGTAAATGCATACCTAATATGTAAAAATTATTATAATTGTTAAAGTTACGTATGCCTTTGGAATGGTGACAAACTACTGTACTTAAAAATCTCCATAGGCAAAGCTTTTAAAGGTTACCAGTTTAGGTTTAGAGTTACACAGGAGGTCTGGTGCTAGAATTATTGCTCTTGCTATAATGTTCAATGTGATACCTCATATGTGTGGTGCGATCACCATTTACATATGTGTGTAGGACCTACTTATGCATTCCACTTTGTGCATGAGCACGGGGAAGGGGCATTTTCATTTTTTTATTTTATTATTTATTTTATTTATTTAATTTTTCTTACTCTGTCTCTTTATTTTTTTATCACTTTTATTGCTATCACAAAGAATGAACAACAACCCATGTGACAGCATGGACATTGACAGATAATCTCTACTGAGACTTCTGAGGTCTATTAGACCCCAGATGTTTTCTCTGTCCTTAAAAGCATCTGATAAAACCAAGATCGGTTTGATCAGATGCTGTTACAATCCAATAATGGCTTGCAAACAACAAACCAAAACCGGAAGTGGCAAAATCTGTGTCTTTTCTGGTTTCATAGACCATAGAGATGATTGAGGAACTTCTATTTCTCCTTCAACTGTGGTCAACAAGCGAAATCACCTGCTTCAGTCCCAGTCTCCCCAATGGAATGGGAGAGCCTGGAAAGTCAGCAGAAGATGGAAGGGTGGAGGAGGGGAACCCCTTCATTTCTGTGGTCAACAAGCAGGACCACCTGCTTCAGTCCCAGTCTCCCCAATGGAAAGGGAGAGCTTGATAAGGCAACAGAAGATGGCAGGGTGGAGGAGGGGAACCCCTTCATTTCTGTGGTCAACAAGCGGAAACACCTGCTTCAGTCCCAGTCTCCCCGATGGAAAGGGAGAGCCTGGAAAGGCAGCAGAAGATGGAAGGGTGGAGGAGGGGAACCCCTTCATTTCTGTGGTCAACAAGCGGAACCACCTGCTTCAGTCCCAGTCTCCCCGATGGAAAGGGAGAGCCTGGTAAGGCAACAGAAGATGGCAGGGTGGAGGAGAGAAACCCCTTCATTTCTGTGGTCAACAAGCGAAATCACCTGCTTCAGTCCCAGTCTCCCCAATGGAAAGGGAGAGCCTGGAAAGGCAGCAGAAGATGGCAGGGTGGAGGAGGGGAACCCCTTCATTTCTGTGGTCAACAAGCGGAAACACCTGCTTCAGTCCCAGTCTCCCCGATGGAAAGGGAGAGCCTGGAAAGGCAGCAGAAGATGGAAGGGTGGAGGAGGGGAAACCTTTAATTTCTGTGGTCAACAAGCAGAACCACCTGCTTCAGTCCCAGTCTCCCAGATGGAAAAGGAGAGCCTGGTAAGGCAACAGAAGATGGCAGGGTGGAGGAGAGAAACCCCTTCATTTCTGTGGTCAACAAGCGGAACCACCTGCTTCAGTCCCAGTCTCCCCAATGGAAAGGGAGAGCCTGGAAAGGCAGCAGAAGATGGAAGGGGGGAGGAGGGGAACCCCTTTCTGCCACATGTAAAAGTATTACAGTGGCTCTACAGGCGCTCAGATTGTTTTTACATGATTCAGCAACACCTGCTGAATACTGGGGTCATGGCCCTGGTATAACCACTTCAAACCAATGACGTATGGGTATGTTCTACTGGTGGGAAGTGGTTAAGGGTACTTCAACTGAAAAAGGGTGGAGAAACACTGGTTTACAGTAGACTGTCATACAGGACCTTTAGATACTGTAAGCTGCAATATATTACATTTTTGTTGCTGGGTTTAGATATACTTCAAGGGCCTTCCATTAATGGCTCCCAATCTGCATATATTACCCGGGCTTAAGTGTTACTAAACCCACAACAGTAAAATCAGTCTTTATATGCAGTAAAGCATGCTTGTTATACTCACTGTGGAACCTAAGGGGTTAATTCTCTGCATTGTGTAAAAAGGCCATTTTTCTCTCCTCCTCTTGTTCAAATGTCCACACTGATAAGAGAGACTGAACCTGTGCCCTTCTGCACATGCTCAGTTTAGTGTGTATTGCTACAGAGGTTTTTTTTTTTCTTGGGAGTGAGTGGGATCAGCACAGGGCCAATCAACACTGTCTAGACAGAGGTCAGGGGATTTCCATCCTCCTAGAGAAAACTCCTCCTACAAGATTTAACATGTTCTCTGCTGGAAACTGATAGAAGTCACAAGACTGCTCTAACTGCTGATGAGAAAAGGTATTTAGCAGTTTATATTTACTAAAATAATTGCACTTCCATGACCTGTGTACTGTGGGAGACCAGATATAGTGAAAGCAGGGTCCTGGGTTTAGAAACACTTTAACCACCTCCCGCCCGCCATATAGTAAAATGACGGACGCAAGGTGGTTCTCTCGTTCTGGGAGGACGTCATATGATGTCCTTCCATTCTCACCGCACATGCGCGGCTCAGGGAACGCGCAGCGTGGCGATTGGCGGTGTGCTGTGTCCCTCGGACACGAAGGATCACCGCTCATGGAAAGAGCCGAAGATGTCGGCTCGGTCATGTGATCAGCTGTGTCCAATCACAGCTGATCACATGTAAACAGGGAAATGCTGGTTATAGGCATTTCTCTCCTCTCGAGCTGTCACGCTGAGAGAGGAGAGGAGAGCCGGTAATCGGCTTTCCGTGGAGGGGACATGCACACTGATCATCAGGGCACTGATGATCAGTGTGACCTGATGATCTGTGTAGCCCCAGCAGTGCCACCTGTTAGTGTCCATCAGTGCCTTGTGTCAGTGCTCATCAGGGCCTCGTGCCAGTGCCCATCAGTGCCACATCAATGCCACATATCAGTGCCTACCAGTGCACATCAATGCCACATATCAATGCCCATCTGAGCTGCTTTTCAGTGTCACCCATCAGTGTCAGTCAGTGCCACCTATCAATGCCAGTCAGTGTCGCCTAACAGTGCCAGTCAGTGCCGCCTATCAGTGCCGCCTATCAATGCCACCTATCAGTGCCTTGTATCAGTGCTGCCTTTCAGTGCCCATCAGTGATGCCTGTCAATGCCCATCACTGCCACCTACCCGTGCCTCCTCAGCAGTGCCCATCAGTGCAGCCTTTCAGTGCCCATCACTGCAGCCTCATTAGCGCACATCAGTGAAGGAGAAAAATCACTTATTTACAAAATTTTATAACAAAAAGTTTTTTTTTTCAAAATATTCAGTGGTTTTTGGTTTGTTTAAGAAAAAATAAAAAAAACCCAGAGGTGATTAAATACCACCAAAATAAAGCTCTATCTGTCACCAAAAAAATTATAAAAATTTCATATGGGTACAGTGTTGCATGACCGCGCAATTGTCACTCAAAGTGCGACAGCGCTGAAAGCTGGAAATTGGCCTGGGCAGGAAGGGGGTATAAGTGCCCTGTAGGCTTGTGGTTAAGGGCTACTGAAAGTGCTAAAGGACCAGCGTGAAAATCAGATTTCAGACCTTTTCAGGATAAGATCAGCGATGGCATCCCACATTTTTTGCTCATGACAGACTTGCTTTAAATGGAAAATTTTTCTGAGTAGGTGGGAGAACTTGGAAAGAATTAAAACATGACCTTAGGAAATATCATTTAATAAATGAAATTAATTTTTCAACACCACACATGTTAACTGCTGCACCCACTATTTTGCCTTTAATTATCCTAAAATGTTCACATTGCAAACTGCCAGAGCAATCTAAACTGTCTTCTTTCTGTATCAGAATATTCTCGGCCTGTTTCCAGCCCTGTGAGATATTGCAGGTGCAGACACTATTTTTAGTCCAGCCATTACAATGTATCTTGTAACTGCCTGAGGTCACAGAAGTAGCATATTTAAAACAATGCCATCCCAAACTCTGTTGTCAAAGTTATAGAATACAACAAGGTCTAGATATCTTTTTTATTTTCCAGTGAGGTAATGCTTACCATGTGTACCGAAAAAGACATTTAGGGTTGATTTGTGAGAACCAGAATAAATAAAATTAGCACAAAATCTGAGGTGTTGTCAATAAATGACCAACTAGAACTCTTATTCTATGTTTACCTATAAGATGAGGTTGCATAGCTCATTCTCTATTTGGTGTCAATAGAGGGCATGTATAGTATTTTTGTAAATGTTTGTCCTTTTTCAACACTTTCTATTTTCTTTCTTCTCTCTCTTGTAAATATTCATATTGAGTATTAATTAGTATGTTCAGTCCAGCCCTCATGTGGAGTCTCATTTTCACATTGTCAATTTCCTCTTACCTTCTGTTGTAAAGAGTTTGTTGTTTACAGAACTCAATAGCTCAAGCTAAAATGTGTCAGTCCAGAGACAACTACTGCTGTGCTGTCTCTATGGAGAACCCATAGTGCTCAGGAAAGCCTTTGTCACATATTACAGGGGTGTTTGTAAAACAAAGATTAACAAATATTATATAGGACAAAATTGGTTTCTTTTACTTATATTTTGTTTCAAAAATTGTTTAACTTTCTATATATCTGAAATTCAAAATATGTAGAAAGTTTTTTTTTTTTCCAATTTGATTAGTTATAGTTTTGAACCAAGGATGCTGTTACTGTCTGAGCCTGTGTTGCGTTTGCGTCAGAACTGCATCTACCCCCATACAAGTCAATAGGAATACATAAGCATCTTGAAGCAGTTTGATGCATAAATGATGACTCAAATGCTTTGGTCAATTAAATCTGAATGATCTCAGAAACAAGGCAAATGCAGTAGAATGAACCTGAAAGCAAGCTGCATTTGTCAATGAATCAAAGCACCAATATATTATTTCTGATACAAAGCATGGTAAAGGCATTTATAAATGGCATAATAGCTTTTTTGTAAAACTTAAACAAAAACAAGTGGTCGGTTAAACTGATTGTAAATGTGAATCTTTTTTTTAATAAAAATAACAAACAGGTTTAGACTTAGACTCTGCTACTCCTCTTCTAGGGTCCCCCACCCACACTTCTTTGTCCTCCTCCCTGGCAAGTGTCCACATTGGAGGCCTCTTCTTGTGGGAGTGATTTAGTAGTGGACCTAATTGTCCAGCGCTTATCTGTTCCTGTCCTAATTTATGATGCTGGCCAGCTTTTGGAATGTGCGCACATGAAGAAACTCACACTGACACGTTTGGTCTGTGAAAACTTCTCTCTAATTTATTGAAATGAAACCGTGAGTTTATATATGAAAAATGATGCGAACATCACGTGATAACAGCATAAGCATTATATTAGTCTTTGATTGGTCACTTTACACGAAAACAATCTCCGTCATGGTATAGGTGTGATCTTCTTCAGTCTTATCTTAAAAAGAGAAAAACATTCTTTTGTCTTCCAAATCACACGATGGGAGGGGGTCTGTTCCTGTGAGCAAGGATTTCTTAAAGTACCACAAAGCCCAGCAGGCAGAAAATATTCACACAGCATATATATTCATGCTAAACATTTATAAATATGTGGAAAGAAATAGTATTAAAGTATAAAAGTAAATATGTAAAAATATGTGTATAAAAAAGTGTATATATATATTCAATTTGAAATGAAATAGGCATTTTACCAAATCCATCACAGGAGCACTTTTGCAGGCTCACTCCCGAGCCTGGCTGACTGTGTCTATAAACACAGACATCAAGGCTCGGCCCTGCCCTCTGTTCCCTCTTACAGGAGTTTGATTGATAGCAGTGAGAGCCAATGGCTCCTGCTGCTTAAGCAAAGACCAAGAAGTGAGGGGAGAGATGAGCTGCAGACAGGCACGGTGCCAGATCGAATGAGGGCTTAAATTAGTAGAAGGGGGGATGCATTAAAATGTTACCAAACCCAGGAGCCTGCATTCACGATATCTGGTCACCCACAGCATACTGAACATAGAAGTTCAATTATTTTAGTAAATATGAACTCCTAAATGCCTTTTCTCATCAGAAGTTAGAGCAGTCTTATGGCTTCTACCAGTGTTCAGCCAATCACTAGCTAAAACTTGTAGGAGGAGTTTTTTCTGCTCTAGAAGGATGCAAAACCTGTGACCTTTGTCTGACCAGTGATAATTGGTCATGTGCTGATCACATGCACTCTCCCAAGAAAAAAAAAAAAACCTCTCTAGCAATACACACCAAACTGGGCATGTGCAAAAAGCCTACCGCTCAGTCTGTCTTATCAGGAGATAAGAGGTGGAAGCTTAAACAAGGGGAGGAACAGAGCAATCAGGAACAAATGGCCTTTTTACACAATCTAGAGGATTAACCCCTTAGGTTCCATAGTGAGTATAACAAGCATGCTTTACTGCAAATACAGACTGATTTTACTGTTGTGGGTTTAGCAGCCATTTTGTGTTTGTGTTTTGGGTAGAGTATGAAAGAGTTATTGTTCCAAATTGTGACCCCCCCATTGAGGAGATGTTCCCTTCTTTCTTATTTCTGTGATGTCCGTGCAAAAAAACAAGGGTAGCCATTTCCACCAAGTCAGGAAGGCACAATAAACATTGCCAGAGGTTCTGACCCTACCTCAGTTTACTAACATGTTTTCATTTTGACCTTCTTGGCAAGAAGTGAGGGGGAGACAGACACAAATGCCAATAGAGATCTGACAGAGGCTTTAACTTTACCTTGCTCTATCCAAAATAAAAAAAAAATTGTTGTTGACATATAAGGGTAACAAGGGAATAATAAGGAATAACTATATTTACATTTTTTTCTTTGCAATTCTCTGTAGCTGATGGATTACATAAAAAGCCTTTGCTCTTCATGTAAGGCCCGATTCACACAATGGGTCCAATCAGAACTGCCTGTTTTTAAGGTGGACCTGATTGGCGGGTCCATTCACCCTACGGACAGGAGAGTGTACAGTAAATGGACTTGTGTGCATTTACACCCGTCTACCTCTAGGTCTCATCCAGTCCTCTAAAAAAAAAGAAAAAGGATCTGTCCTCTTCCATTTAAGTGGATCGGATTGCAGGGTAGTCAGGAGTAAACTGACGGTGGAGTCCATTTACACCCGGCCGCCCACAGAACAGAGCGGGTTGTGTCTGTGTCCACTCTGCAGAAACTGAGTGGACACAGATGTGTCATCCGCCGATCTGCTCCAATCAACAGGGGATCTGTTGCATCTAGTTATAATGAAGATATTTGTTACATTATCAGTGATTATTGAATCTGAATTGAACTAGTTACAGTATCATTAATGCAGGAGTCACCATCAGCAACATCTGACCACACATCTAAATGTTTGCTCTTAAACTGACAGAAGGTCCAAGTAATTGGGGTTATAGTGGAACATACCAGGCACATACACACTGGAGGCTGAACCCAAGGCCTGCAGGGCATACCTGGTACATCCTTGGTCCACAAGTAGTTAACTAGGTTTCCTATCTCCTTGAAGAAAACCTTTAAAGTGGTTGTACATAGTCCCTGTTTGCTCTAGCGTGCCTTAAAACCCAGACTCTTTGTTATGCAAATAGAGATCAAACTACTGTACCTGGCCACACACTAGTAGAATTTTGTTAGGAAATTTTAGTTTTAAGAATTTTCTATTTTATAATTATTAGTGGGGTCAAATGAACGTTTATTTTTGACAGCAGTGATGAGAAAATTCTAAAGTAGTACTAGGGTCGTTGGTTCAAATTCCAACCATGGAGTTTGCATGTTCTCCCTGTGCCTGTGTGGGTTTCCTACGGATACTCCGCTTTCCTCTCACACTTCAAAGACGTGCTGGGAAGTTAATTGGATCCTGTCTAAATTGGCTCTAGTATGTGTATGTATGAAAGTAAGTTAGGGACCATAGATTGTACACTCCTTAGGGTTAGGGACTGATGTGAATGTACAATATATATATATATATATAATATATATATTTGTAACAAGGTTAGCTCGGCAGCGGGTGTGTGTGACCCCTGGATGGGTTGCACAACACAAAAAGATAGGCACAGCACAACAATAGTGGAGGTGAAAACAAACAGGTGCAATTTATTTACAATATTTACAAAAAAAATGATAAACAAAAAGAGACATCAAAATAAATCCTGGCCAACTTGGCTACTTACTGCAACAACAGCTTT